TTGCCTATTTTGAAATCTCTGTAAATGAAAACTAAAGGGGTTGATATGTGCGAGTTAATGACGCGCCTTATCAACACATTGTGTTGGAGTTCACTGCTTGTTTTTTTTTACTTTTGGAGGGCAGACATAAAATATTATCGGGGACGTATGGGTTCGCATTCTCATTCAATAAAGCACAAAGGATAATGTACACTGAATCTTCGAAGAGCAACGAAATTGATGCCAGTGAGTAGGTGCATCAGGTATCAATGACATTTCCAGCCATGACAAGCCTTCAAAATGTATTGATACCACCAAAGCTGCGCTGTACAACCTGACGTCGAGTTGATAATGTACCTATTCTGCCGTGCTGAGGAAGGACACCGTAAGAACATTCGGGAGTTGTCAAATTTCCCCGAATAAGACATGTATTTTTGACAACATTCATGCATATTTTTCCTTGAAATTTTCAGATATTTCAGACGAAATTGCGAGCAAAATTGTCTGAAAATTTTGGAAAAAAATATCCACAATCTGCCCAGTAAATTGGGTTTTTTACAAAAGCAACTTGACAACGTCTGAAGGCTCATACGGCGTTTTTCCTTAGCACGGCAGTATTGGTGATGGTGCGCCCGTTGCGTGCCACATTGGTCGTAATCGCAATTAATTATGAGGTATTAGTTCGAGATTTTCAAAGAATTTTTAATGAGTAGCAGTCTATATTATTTTCATGATCACTTATCCTCTTGTCTTATTAAGCATTTGCATTTCAAACTGATTGCCGAATGGTAAACTATATCTCTGACCTTTAGAGCCATCGGTTCTATGCAAAATTTGTCGTACTACGTGGGCCGTCGCGTCACCGTCTGTAGCACTGCTGTTTTCTGTAGGGATGTTTTAATGGATTTATATTTAGAATAATATACAGCAATACGATAACAATATATTATCTACATCGTGGAAATCACAGATACAGATTATACGTGTTCCTAGATGGACATCGTAAGATTAAAGGTTTCAAAAAAAGTTTACCGATGAACAATAAAAAGATTAGAAAAAAACACTAACATGTGGCTCGATCCGTAAGTTACAAGGTGGAAGAATGATATGGACCCATCACCATTCTACTACCCTTTTGCAATGAAAAGAATCAAACATACAAATGAGGGTCCCGAAAAAAAAACTAAAATACAAAAAATTACTCCCAGTGATACATTGGCCTTGTACAATGATGTTGACCAAAAACTTCATAATTTTGGGTGTTTAAATCGAGTTACATATTGGGAAAATGCCGAGGAATATTATTTTGAAATAATATTAAGATTTTTTTTGGTATCTACGTCCTTTTTAAATGAAGAGAGCGCAGGCGGCTGGATCAGATTGTGTATTTTAAGTCCCTTGGTTCGGTCATCGTATTCTGAAGTGAAACTGAAAGAGTTGCCGTTTACAAGATCGCAACTCACTCAAAAGCGGTCGTGAATTTAAATAGTTTCGCACGGATAAAATGAGTTTTCTTTGATTAACTGTGAATAATCATAATTTAAGAAAAAGTACTTTGTCCACTGGTCCATTACTAAAGCGTAAAGCATGGATTAATGGAGCATCGATGACCAACTAAATCTTATCTGACAAGGAAATTTAAGTGTGAAACCCTTTTTTCCGTCTTTAAATGATCCAAATCCACCAACAAGTTTAAAACACCAAGTGCAAAAATGTGAATCTACTGATGAAGGGTCGATTCTTAGTGCCAAAAACGCGAATCTCGGCATTCCTGCCGTATTTTCTAACAGTTCGAGAAATTGTTGATTCTGCCGATGGAGTTTGAAAAAACATCTTATTATTGGCATCCTCAAGAATTATTAATAAGAACGGTAAAAGGTTAATCCCTTCTGCCGACAATAAAGAGGAATGCAGACAGTTTTTTTTACTCTCCTGGAAAATCGTGTTTTCCGAGATTCGCGCACTTCTGCACTTTCACCATCTATAAAAAGCTTTAGTATCGTTTAATTAACATTTCCACAAGCAGTGATTATGCTTGTTCAGTCAGTGATTTTTTTTTCTCATTAATTTCTTCACAAAAATTCTCAGGTATCTATATTGCAGGCAATTAGCAATCGCCGGCAAATTGCAATCTATTCGTGTTTAATCAACAACTTTAATCGTTTTAAAGTGAAAATTCCAAGCGAGCTT